CTACATTATTATTATTTTATTTATATAATTTTCTTTCTTTATTGAACATATTTGAAATCAGCAGTATTGCAGCAAAGGCCAGTAGTCACAAAAAGCAGTATACACATTTATTTTTTAGATTTTATTTTAAAGATTGAATTTTTTTTTAAGAATTTGAGAACCCGTGCGATAGTAGTAGCGTTCATATAAATTGTACGATCACAATTCCAGTTTCTTTTTTTACTTTATCTAAAAATAACGCATTTATTGAAATACAAAAATGAACTGAAAAACAAATCTATCGCGTTGAAAAAAAACTGACCTACTCTGAAATATGGCAAATGATTTACTCTGTATCAGCTTATTTTAATGATAAGCACCTAATATACCGGAAGTATCCTCATGATGTAAAATACCAATTTTTAAAACTATCAATGTTTTTGAAAATATTTTTCACATTATCTAAAACATAATAAAATAAATATTTTTTCATTATTTTGAATCATTATTATTTGAACTTTTAAATTTGTCTACTTTTTGTAACATACGTTTTTAATTTCGCACGATAAAATGTAATTCAAATTAGCATAAATAATTCACCTTAAAGTATTTAAAGTTAAAGTTTACATGAACAGATTAGTGCAGGACTAAACATTACGCATGAAAACTTCTATACGACTCCAATCACCTAAATTTTAAAATTTTTGAAATAATAAGTATTTTACGTTAAAATAATCACTCGATATGTATACATAAGTATACATTATACATGTGTATATATTATCTAAAAACGGTAATGAGATCTAATGTGCTCTGTATATATTTTACATTACAGCGTGCAATAGGACTTATTATGGTGAGGTGGGAAAATCTTATCGACTGACTGTGAAGAAACTACAAAAAGAAAGACCATTCCTGTGTCACTTGAGTTTCACCGCRASCGGACAAGAACATGGAGACTTTGTGGAAGTAAGTTTATTATACACTATAATACCTACTTATACAATACGACCGCATAATACTATAATAATTATTATATTATACAAGTACGTGCATCTATGTATATATTATTCAAAAAACTACTTCATGACAAGGTCCTTTTCATTCGTTCATTAAACACTTTTTTCTCTTTAAATTATAACGCGTTTCAATTAATTTTGATGAGGCTCAATATAGCATCATAATAATAAGAATGACACCGCAGAAATAATTTTTTTCATATAAAAATTTGACTTTACATTCATTTATAAAAACTGTCAACTGAGGTATTCATTTTATGATACTAAAAAAAAAAAATGTTATATTAGGTATGCAGTGATCATTGATTYTATAATATTATTATTACGCATGTAAACTCTTGACTTGAGAAAACCTTTTTAAAATTTTATTTTTAAAATSAGTCTGTCATGTAATACAATTTTAAAATCCTATTTTATTTTTTATTGTTTTTTGAAACGTTGAATACCTGTTTAATATTTACAGGGCATTAAAAATATAAAAATATTGTACTTTATATTTGAAAATAGATTATGTATTTTAATGTTTTTGTAAGTCATTAGAATCTTTTTTATTATATTATAATTTCATAAATAAATTAACTTAAATTTTTTAGTATTGTATGAAATATATATTATTATAGAATTATATTTTATAATTATTCAAAAGTAGCAGTAATAAAATATAATTATTGGTTAATTTTATAATCCATTGAAATAACATCTATGTTCATGCCACCGTGTCATTCTTATTACTATAATATAATACAGGATATACCTATATCTTACAGTACGGGTACTTATTTGAATGTGTTCAAACGTGTCTTGACCCACTGAAAATTTCACAGAACTACTCACATATGTATCTACCTACCGTTAAAATAGACTGTAGGTATAATTCAGTAAAGTTAAGTAGACTGTATAATGTGTAAAGTAAAATATATATGTATAATATAATATATAAATTGTATATATTTGCATGACAAATAAAACATAGACATAAGACAAAGCTCTATTATAATTTGAGCTTTTTTTTCTTTCGGTAAATTGTTAAATGCTAATTGTCTTGTCATGTTTAAAACATTATTGTACTGTATAACTATAAAATAGAAACGAAAAAGGACAAATATAAAATGTTTAAATGTAAGTAGCATAAAGTTTYCCTCACAAGGGTTTCGGGTTTTTATGCTCTGGTTTATACATACAATAAATTATTCATGAGAATTCTTTTTGCGGCGTAACTTTCATTGTCTGTAGAGAACATTGCAGTTCTTTCTCGGCAACGTTGTATCTGCTTGTTGTACACAAACAGGTCGAAATAGTAAAACGTGTGTATATATGTGTGTCATCATTCATGTCATCCCAAAACAATTGCACTATAGCCGGCGTTATATATTATACGTGTAAATGTATTAAGGCACTTGCAACAACGGTTTGAGATTTACGCGCGTAGTATGACAATTGGTGGTAAACCACTGAAATAGAAAAATTTATCAACAACTCAGTAAATGATTATCATAGTTACAACCTTACAGCGGAACATCATATTGTAATATTTTTTGAAAATGCCTTTCGTTATCTATCAGTCATACACCCGATACACGTCGTATGGGTATAATTAATTATGTGACTATTATTCTTAATTACTAATTACTGTTATATTTATATGATTGAAATAAAAAGCTAATTTATAATATTAATCATAATATTATGTATCTTATAGCATTTATTCTATAGCGGCCYAGTATTACTTTATAACGAATACGATTGTCGGATTTTGAAACCTAAGGTTCATAGACGATCTTAATGTACAGTATAATATTTGTTTTTCACTTATATCGGTCTATTTACACATCCGACGAACGGTTTTGAAATGTAGGCACGCGAAGATTATGTTTATATATAACGTTTGAATCTACCGTTGGTATATAATATAACAGTTGTGTACGCAGAATTTTTCAGTACAATTTTATTTTTATTTTGTCCAATCTACTAATTTCAGACATTTAGACACGTCTTACCTATACCGGAATTTTATTTTTATTTTGTCCAATCTACTAATTTCAGACATTTAGACACGTCTTACCTATACCGGAATTTTATTTTTATTTTGTCCAATCCAATAACTTCAGACGTTTAGGTATAGTATTTGAAAATGTTTGTACCAATTCCACTACTCAAATTTTCTAATAGAAAAATGCTCTAGTTATAAACTTCAATGGAGATTTTTGGAAGGAAATTGGATCCAGTTTTTTGTTTTGGGAAGTCGGAATTGAAAATTCTCCGTACTCTTTTTAAAATAATCAGAGAAAAAAACTAAAAATTTGTTAAAGTTGTGTGGCAACCTTGCAAGTTAGACTGTTTTCGTTTAGATAATATTTGATTAATTTTAGTTTCTTATTTTGAAATATCAATAAAAAATTATTTATTTGGTCAAATAGTTTAAACATCTAATAGGTACTTGTATCTTCACTTTTTCCTCATATACTTTTACTATAACTGTTTCAAAAAAATTAACAACTTAAGTACTTAACCTATTTATCTTATATTATTATTATTATTTATCAATGAATTTATTACGAAATTATATATATATAAATTCATGGTTAAGCATCAATAACTATAAGGTTGTTAGCTTGAAATTATATTAATCTTACCCTTTACGTCGAAAACTTTACTGTGCCTTGCACTTGTTATAAGAAATCACCACCAGTGYGGTGGGTAGCCTGGTAGGAGATCAAAAACAAAACAATACGTATTCGATCAGCAGTTTTAACTGGATTTAATAATCTATTGGAAGTCTTCTATACACATTACACGTATAATACAATTGAAATTCCGTGGAGGATTTTTCGCAGCACCTGGGGACACGTTTGGGTCAATCGCTCGATAAAGTCGCTGTATAATATATAATACGAAGCGCTCTCACTACACGCTGCGCTCAAATCGAAAATACATCTTGCCCTACTTGTTATGAAAGCCTATACTTACCTGAAGAGCGAATAAAACAGCTGTACAGAAAAAAATAAAAGATAAATATGTTGTTACGCTTAAATCTCGCCATAKGATATACAATGAGAGAAAATTCAATATAAAATAATAAGCGGTGATGGGGTTTGTAGAACATCCGTGTACTAAAGTCGTCTTGGACAATAAAAAAGGTTAAAAAAAAAAAACGTTAAATTCTTATCTAACTATAGGAGAATGCCTGGTTTGATGTGTTTAAAAGCTCACCGACGACGATAAGGTCTGAAACGATATAATTCTCAAGCGGATATAATATATATAAATTTAATATATATTATATATAGGTATCAGATGTATTATATTATGAGTATAATACTATAATATATATATAGGTAAATAGATTGATGTCGCAAATATCTTTACATACTATCTATAAGTACATATAACCTGTATACCGAGTTTAGTGGTTGAAAAACTTACACCCTAATCCTATGTTTTCGATATTTTACGGGGTAGAAAGATTTTTCTATATGTTTAGTGCAAGAAGCTTCTGCGCATTTAAAATCAACCGCAGATAAAGGTTTATATTTTATTTTATTAGAGGTAATTTTATATTAATTTATTATTTACAAAAAAATCATAAAGATCATACATTTTATTGATATTTAAATTTAATATAAATAATATAAAGATTATATAGGTAATGACGTATACATTTGGATCCGATGGGAGCAAACCAAGAACTTAATTAATCAGGCGACCTTCGCAATACTCAGTTATAGACAGATTATAATTTTATAACAGCCTCCATATATTACCTATTTATTTTTATATTTTATTATTTTAGTATGGTAAACATAGTGTAATATACACAATTTACAACTACGTAGTACTGATTGAGTCGTCTTTGAGTAGTTTTCGACCAGCATCATTAGGATACGATTGAATTCCCATGGGTTTATGAATTTTATATGTRAGTTTTAGTTATATATTGAATCAGCTAAGTTCAAGTACTCCTATTTTGCTAGCTGATAAATCAAATTTTCCACTGCAGGATGATGTGGTCGACGTTAGATTAAACGTACATTCCGCTCTATATTCATAAACCTCTTTCGATGTTTAATAAAAATATAATAAACCTCCCAAAAATAATCATTTTGGTATTGAATCTAGTATTATCTAGCTGGATTGGGGTAAATTTTATTACATGTCAAGCTTAAAATAATAGATTTTCGAAAATGATTTGAAATAATGTACACATAAATATCTAATATTTATTATATGTATACTTACATATTGTTTTTTAATATAATACTTAACTATTTAATATTTAATTGGTCATAATATAATAGATTTTCAAGGGTTTTTCTTTTTACCTTAAAAAAATCAAATCCATTAACATATCATAAATAAATAATTTCCAAGATAGGTATATAATATTAAAGGCCTGGCCATAATTTTTTTTTATAGTAAATATCATAACATATTTCACAGTACCTGTTTACTATCGTACGCATTTCAAGATAATAAGGATATTTTACAATTTTATGTAGCAAATTAAAAAAAAATTCACGATTGTGGGTTATATTAAATAATACAATTAATCAAGGTTTATATTGCATTTTCTTTCTTATATTTTATTGGTACTGAAATACGCAGTTATATAATAAAAACAAAATCTAATTGAGAAGACCATAAATATCTAGTTGCATTAGTTGAACAAAACTTTTATCTTAATTAAAACCGTATTTAATGAAAACCAAAAGACACATTACAGCCATAATTAGATTTAAAATTAGAGTATTTATTTTAATTAATGAGCAAATACACTATGTAACATCGTGGTACATGCGGTATAGGTGTATAGCAAAAGTTGTACAAGCTTCTTGTTAACACCTAACGCCCATAATATTTAATTTATATTTTGAGAAATATTTTATGTTCTGAACTTTTTTAATACACGTTTATATTTTAAAATTAAAACTTTTGTTTTGTTGGTTGTATACTACTACAACTACTAAGTGAGACTTCGGTAGACCAAATTCGGTATACTTTTTTAAAACTTTTGCATCATTTATTTTATAATTAGGTAACGATTTTCCATAAATTTTTTTACATATGATAATGTATAGGTACCTATATACACATATTGTGTTGTCGGATATTTATTCTTATTCGAAATGGCAAATGTCGTATACTCGTTTGCATTTAAATATTTAATGTTTATCGTAACAGYCGTAGTATAAAGGTTGTATTAAATATTAAAACAGCATACATTTTGCCCGTATATGGTTATAGAGGTATAATAGGTATATAGCTGGTATCAACAACATGCGCGTTTAAAAATGTGATCTTCATAAAATGTCTTGTTATTTATTTGACCACTGGTAATTTGCATCATTGCATCACTCGTCGTGACATTAAAGAGATTTAGAAACATTACTTTATTAGATATCGGGCCGAACGAGAACCCATTACAATTGCAGGAATTGATTTTTGTAAGAAAACACGTTTCAAAACTGTAGTAACCTATATTACCAAAGTTATGTACCTATTATAAATCGAGACTTTATAAGTCACAATACACAATCACTGCAAACTTTGTCAGGTTCGTATTATGTGAATTTTTTACAGTATTCTCACCATAAAAATGAAAAATAACACGGTGTCGGAGTAGATAGTAATAGGACGAATAGGTACTATACGTTTTATTATATATATATATGATGAATTCTTCCGACCAGGGACGTGTGAATAGTAAGTACACAATTATACCTAAAAAATTGAGGTTGTTTATGGCCCGTTGTAATATTAATTTAATTTAAAAAAAAAATAATTTAACCGTACCTACTTAATCGTACCCAAAGCAAAGTGCGACATAAGCGATCGAAAAACAAATAGTACACAATAATAACCTTATATATATATA